AGTTATCCATCCTCTGCCTAATACTTTGGGTCTTACATCATGGAAAGGAGCGAGACCTGTTGTCTTCACAGCTTGGTATGTTTTAGTGCTCTAGTTTTTCATAGGGACCAACTCCAGCTCTTTTGAGTTGAGCATATGGCAACCTTTTAATGTCTGTTTCAATTAATTCTTCTTGGATTTGCTTGATCTCTGTTGTTACTGTTTGTGGTCAGCAGCACGCTCAGCAGAGGAGATTTCCATAGGGTAACTGCACTGAATGGTGCTCTGAGACGTTTAAGTTGTTTGACCATGATTTCACAATAAGTCAGTGTGGCACAAGTGGGATTAGGCTCCTGATTCTCCTTCCCTTCTCCTCACCACAGCTGTCTTAAATTTCAGCTCCTGCAGAGCATCAGTCAGCCTTTCACTGAGATGCCTCCAAATGATTTCAGGTTGCTGTGGCCCTGGCAATACATGCTGGTGCTGGAAAGAAGGAACCCAGGCCACACTCACCAACAGTGAAAAACGTGCCATTGTATATAGTTAAACAAAGTTGTGGCAGCCTGCATCTAGACAGGAATGGGTGAAGCTGCTGTTTAGGAGACTGGGGAGTGGCAAGTGGACTTAAACCCTGCTAATAAACCAGGCTGGTCACCATCATGACCCACAGGGAGGAGGGAAGGTAACTCATGTCCTTCTCCCATTGGCCAAGGTGATGTGCTCAAGCACTTTGGGAAAGCACTGGCTCATCACTCACTAAATTTAGTTACAGCCTCACACTTTTATCCTCCTTGACCATTTCTTACCTCTCTCTGCATCATCAAGTAGCTCTACCCCAGCACTGGGAGGGCAAGTAGCCCTGTGTAAAACAGGTGCCAAGGCTGTGGATCAGCCCTCAGGGATGCTCCAAGAACAGTGTGATTTGTTTCCTTTCCCCAGGGAGGCTCGGCACATCACCTCTGCGATGTGCTCAACCTCCGCTGACCCACGGCCTGGGACGAATCCAGCCGAGGTGAGAGTGTCAGGGCTGTGCCTGTGTCAAGAGGCAGAGCCAAGGGTGCGCTTTGGGTAATCCTGTTTCCTCTGGACCCTTTATTTCCTAAGCACTAAATGAAATTTCAGATTTTAGATACGTCTAGACATATACAGTGCACGATAAAGTTGATAATACATTAATCATTTTTAACAACAGGTAATATGCATAATTTATGGTGTTACAGTGCTATCTTTTTTGATATTTATGATGGATAATGCTCAGTTTTTGCCCTCATATTACTGCTTTAAATTATACCACAAGAAAATTAATGAGAAAGTAGATTTATGGGTTTCATTTGTTTGTCAATTCGGAAATTAATTGGGTGTTAATTTTAGCCGTCCCTCATCAGACCAGGTCTTTAGTATGTGTGCATTACTTTGCATTCATTGAAGCCTACCTCCCATTTACTGTGGGTCACTAGCTTTGCATACATTAAAATAGCCCTCAGGCTCATTCTCTTGATTACTTTTTGAACTGCCATGCATTAGAAAATTTACGCCTTTCTGTTATAATTATGAAAATTCTCTATTGGAAGATGGTGCTTGCATAACAGTAAGTGTACAGTCGTGCTCAGCGACGTAAGATCATATAACAAATCCCAGTACGTTTTTGTTCTAATCCTAGAAAATAGCACTCTCGACAATCTTTGTTGTGCGAGTTTCATCCTTTGAAATTTCAAGGATCCATTTTAATGCATTGAATTACCTCTTTAAGCTGAGGAAATATCAAAGGATTTCACCTCGTCGCTGTCTCTTTGTTTCCTCTTTCCACACATCCCGTGCGTGTTCCTCCCTTGCCTTGCTCCAGGTTTGCCTCTCCTCCTCCAAACGCCGCTGTCAGACGTGACTCAGCATCGCTTTTCAGGACAGCCGAGCCTGATTCGCTCTGTTCCTTACTATTTTGGTTGATTCTTAAATATGATCCTTAATTGCACTTTGAATCCCCTTCGCCTTTCTCCTACTCGTGCACAATTCAGCAACCACCAGTAGTGTGTAGGCGAGTGGCCTTCAAAGGGGTAAGCATGAAGTTTTATCCAAAAAGTACCCTAATGTACTGACAGTTGATCTATAGTTAGTTAGTACATAATTATACCTAAAATACACCCTGTCAGCAGGATAAATGACGGCTACTGAAAACTCTAAAAGCATGACGGGTGTTCACCCATCTGCAATGACGAGAGCGGAGGGGTTTGTAAGTTGAGAAAGGCTGGTGAGTTCAGCATGATCTGATATACTTAAATCGTGCCATATGTTGGGATGGCTCTTTCTAATAGTCGTGCTAACCACAAACACCGGCAGGGAGAAGTCATCTGGTCCACCTGGCTAGTTTGGACTCCCCTCCCCGGCGTTCTTTCTGCGCTTAGCATGGTGGCAGCCCTTGAGCTGCTCGTGTGAAGCTGGCTGATTCACAGTTAATTGTGACATGGTGTAATTTAGTAAATGAGCAGCTGAACATCTGTACGCCTTCCCCCATGGCACATCAAAGCCTTACCTTACACAAGGCTTTTAATTTCCACTGGTGAATCCTTTTTCTTTTACTGAACTCATGGATGGCGGGATGGTGCTGCTGGCTGCCTCGCCGACCTAGGCACGGGGTGTCAGCTGGAGGAGATGGGTGTTTCAGCATCGCCTGGGGGACATGAAAACATGTTCCTGGAAAAATTCAGAAGTGGTGGCAGGATGCGGAGCCTGAGGTGCTTTCCCCAGCAGGGCACTTGCTCCAGAGATACCGGGACTAAAAGAGACCACCTGTGAGCTGGGCAGGGGTCTCCTGGCAAAGGTGGTGGTCCTTCTTGCTGATCCCAAGCAGTGGTGGGAGTGCCAGGCTGGTCCTGTAGTACCTTTGTCCCTGTGCTGGGGGCAAGCAGCAGCTTTGCTTGTGCTCTGTGTTGCCTTGCTGGTCACGCTCTGGAGCGCACTTCATTTTCAAGAGGTAAAATCCTGTCTTTGCAGTGTTGTGTTGTTGTGGAATGCTTCCAAACATTGCTTGTTTGGTGTTTTATTTTGTTTCTAGGGTTTTTTGGTTGTTTGGTTGGTTAGTTGAATTTTTTTGGTTTTTTGTTTGGTTTTTTTTTTTAATTGCACAGAGAAGTGCTCTAAAGTTAGTCCTGAACCTGTTTTGGGGAACTGCTTGTAACAAATATGTAAAACATTTAATTATAGACCATGCACGTATAGATGCTATGCCTGCCTGAGAAGTTCAGGCTAGATTTTGTGATTTGATTGCTCCCTTAAAACTGGTTTTACCATTAGGTCTTCTGCCTATAAATGTAGAAATACATTTTATAAATCTGTGTTGTGTTTAATTTACATGTCCTTTCATGGCTGGACCAAGTTCTTTAAGGGCATTTATTCTGCTTCATATAAATAATTGATCAGCCAAGTTAATTTACTTCTGCCTGACTTGGTCAACCTTAATTAACTGCCCTGGAATAAAGACTGAACTTTTTGTTACCTCAAAATCTTTCACAAATGTGGCAAAGAAGTGTTGTTTTATGACAACATTTTTGCTCTAGCACTGGTCCCAGGGGACAGAAATGCTGAATGATCTTTATGTGTGTGTATATATATATATTTGTAAACACCTCCAAATACTAAGAGCTGAAATAAAATCATCAGCCTCGGAAGAAACTTTGAAACACGCCAGCTACATTGTGAATCTGTAGTGGGTTGAGTCTGCAAGCATATTAAAACAGATATTAAGGCCCAGAAGACCCTGGGGACAGTGTTTTAAAGGTGATGAGATGCTTAAAGATATAGATTGGTGCTTATTCAGGAGTCTTAAAATTGTCTCACCAGATGCCTCCGTGTATGGTGAGACATCTAAAGACATCTGAGTATCAGTCCCTTAGTCCTTCAGACTTGCAGTGGGTCCTCATTCTGACAGGTGCTTCAGTCAGTAAATCCTCCCTCATGCTGACATTAAACAATGCTACTTAGTCTTTAGAAACTGTACTGGTAGAAGAATTGCAGAAATGGCACACTTCAGCGCCCACCTCCTGCCTACTGATCTCCATGCTGAACCTCGCTCATCTTAATAGTCCAGTGGAGCTGAGATGTGTATCTGCAGCATCTGGTCTTTGCAGTGTTGTGGACTTTATGGACTTGGATTTAGTGGATTAGCACAGAACCTTTTCAAAATTAGGATTTCTTTAGGTTCTGTTTTTAATTCTAAAAACATCAGCGTTGGAATACTGAGATAATTTTGATTCAGACAAAGTTAACATCTGACCTATGTTTTCTCAGTTTTGACCATGCCCTTAAGAAATTGGGTGTCACTTGCTTCTGTCGAAGTCATGTGGAAGATGATTAGGTGTTGTCCTCCTGTTGACAGAGTGCCATCCTTTGGTTCCTCTCCTCTGAAATTTTATTCCATTACCTTGAATGTAACATATTCACCAAGGAGATGGGCCCAGCTGTAGGGCTTTGACTTTGTGTTTGACTGTACATCAAAGCTAGAAAAGGTTTTGTGCAGGTTAAATTGGGAATCTCAAGAAACTGACCACTCTTTGGAAATTTTTAAACCAAGCTGACAGTAAGTCACATCAGACCAGTTCTTTTATTATGTGCTCCCTGATTTCAGGATAAAGTTTTACAAGCTGTTGTTCATACTGCAGCTTAGCTTTGGTCCCTTTGTATGGGAAAAAAACATCTTGTGTCTTTTTTAATAATTCAGAGTCTTTCTGTATCCCTCATAACATGAAATACCATAGAATTTAGAGAGAGAGAGAAGAAAAAGATACTTAACACTGGTAAGAACCCACATATTTTAAGCTTTAAAATGATATTTTCCTTTGCAGAATTGATAGGAGGATTATTCTGCCTTCTACAACATGTGAATTGGACGTGCTCTTTTGACATTAAATTTCTTCAGTCAGAACATGGTCTCCTGCCTGTCACGGAAGCATTTGTAGGGTACTGTATTTCCTATAATAAATGGTTATGCATAACAGCTTCTCCAGCACTATTTTGGTTATTTAGGGTTGTATTTAGAGCAGAATCACAGTTTATGATACTAGACCTGGAGCTTCAGTTCAGTTCCCACAGAACAATCATGTTGCATCAAGTCAACCTTGCTTTGCTTTTTTCTTTCACGATTTTGAATGACAAACTTCAGTAATAGGCTCCTGTAAGGCCGTCTCCGCTGTGCTGGGAAAGAGACAATTATCTGAGCCATCCTCGGTGTACGATCACCTCAGCTCATTTAGGTGTGCTCAGAAAGACAAATAATAATCATTCTTGCAGAAAGCTCTCGCAGGTTGATTTTCATGACATGACACTTAATGATCAAACCAAACTGTGATTATTTATGTCAACTCACATTTGACTGCAGGGAAGGAATAAACAGTTTTATCTTTTCCCCTTGAAATTTCTGTCTCCTATCAGAGGTATTTTAGCAAAGGGCTTGTGTTTTTGTACACGCATCCAGCTGAAGTTATGTGGAAGTTGACCACTTGTAAATGGTTGTTTTTAAGGCAAAATTTGCTCACAGATGCTCACTTCTGCATGTAAAATTATGTTTTGCAAGTTCAAACGTGGTCTCTTGGCAAACTCAGTTTCCAGCCTTATTTCTTTGGTAGCTGCTGCTCTGAAGGGTGGTCACAACCAGTGGAGGGGCTGGGGCCAGCCCTGTGCAGCTGCTAAAATAGGGCATGAAATTTGTCATGGAAAAGGTTTTCAGGAACTATGATCTTTTTGTGACCAAATACAATAAATAATCCATCTTTTTCTTAGTCCTATTGGTAGGAAAAATGGTAGCAATTTCTACTGGTTTTCTTTCTTTTCAGGAACATTTTTGCAGTTCTAGAGACAGTAAATAATTTCTGGACCAGTTTGGTTGTGAATTATTTTCTCTGTCCTGGAGATATTTTGCTCAGAAGGGCAAGCCAAACAGTTGTGATCAGGCAGTGATGGATCTGCTCCTCAGTGGTGCACATTCTTCTTGCTGCTGTCAGAAGCACCTCGGAGCCTTGCAGGTGCTTTCTCTGACTCTCCTGGTAGTTTATCCACGTTCTTGCTTCCAGTTTGTTGCATCAGAAGTGTTGGAAAATGAGATGTACTTCTTTACTGTTCTGGCACATTGGTTTTAGCATCTCTCACAGGGTCTGCTGGAGGCATCTTCCACCAGTTCTTTAGCGTGTCCTTCCTCTGTTGGCTTTGGTCTATGAGGTGGGCACATGCACCCACCATAATTGTGGTGCATCAAGACAGTCAAAGACATGAGTCTCTGGGTTTAACCTGCTAACCAGTCTTTCCTGGTGGTCATCCTTCTCCTCATCTGCCTGCTGAGATAAATTAGCATAATGCTCCATTTTCTCTAGTTGAGACTTGACCTCAAATTTGGGTGGAAACTGAAAATTATTACATCAGTTCTTTCTTCTTGATTTATCTCTGGTTAAAAGAGGTATGTCCTTTTTAGTAGTGTAGCATATAAAAATTGCATGGTATACCCTTGAGTGACTTGAGAGCTGTCTGGAGACTCTCACTCCTCTCTCTTCTTCAGAAGCAGCCTGTGCCATGCGGTGGCTGCCTGGTGTATGGTGTATAATCCAGCCTTGCCTGTTAGATGTAAACACTTATTTAGACCTTACCATGCTTGTGGGCTTTTCTTACAGTGCTGAAAATGAAAACCACACCATGTTCAGTCTGTGTTGGAGCAGGATCATGTTAAAACCCAAAAGCATTTCCTAGTGGTGTTGGGAAAGCTGTAGGTTTGTTTAGATCTTTGGGGCTTTTACAGGGGAGTTGACAGAAGCTTTATAATGAGCCCCTGAGCCCTTTTGTCCCCTGGCATAATTCGAAGATTTAGCAAAACAGATTGAAAGAAGCTTCCATGGACCAGCTGAAATTTATTTAAATGTAATCAAAATGTCTGAATCTGTCCTACTCCCGCCCATGTGCTTGGGCGGCCCTCAGCGTGAATATATCCCGTCATGATTGGAGCAGGGTCTGGTTAATGAGTGGTTTGTCCTCCTTGGACATGAGTGGGCAAGGAGTGCTAACCCACTGCTTTCTCTTGCCCTTTCCAATTGGTGTTTTCCCTTACATATTGGAAGGGAAGGGATCTTCCTTCTTTTTTTTGATTTGGGGTAGTTACTGAATTCAAACAGGTTCTTCCTTGAATATAAAGCACCTTACTTTAAGGTAAACTATCCTGCACAGAGGCATTTGCCTCACGTGTGCACATGGTGAGTTAGTGTGGAGTAGGAAGAGTGCTTGGGACACTCAGCATGGCTTTCCATACCCCATCTCACCTGGATAAGGGTGAGAGGAGGAGCACAAAGGGAGGGAGGGATGTGCTGGTGGACAGGTTAGTGGCATGTAAACCCTGGAACGTGTCGCTTTGCAGGTGGAAATACTTATAAGACAACTCATCATAAAATCTCCAAGGTAGCACTTTGCATACGTGCTTTGTTTGGGGGGGGGGGGTCTTGTGCACAAATGCTGATGTTAGTTCCTGAAAATGTGTGAATCCCAGGAGTTCTGGGGTAAGGAAGTGGGGGCTTGTCCTCATCCTTGCTGTGGGGCTTGTGACCCACTGACTGTTGATGAGCACAGAGTGTAAAGCACCCAGGGACAGGCATCCACCAAGAGTCAGTGGAGAGGGCTGGCTGTGATGCTCTGTCACTGCTAAGATTATGTTCAGCCAGATAACACAGGAGGCTCCTCTCTGTAGTGCCACAGAGCATCCAAATTCAGACCAAATCCATAGCCAAAAATTTGGCCAGCGAGACTAATTCTGTGAGCAGTTGTAGCAGTTTTCCCCAAATGAAAACTGATGATGTCCAGCACATCCCAGACTCAGCCTGAATTGCTTCAGAGTAATAAAAGGTGCTAGTTTGGCACTGTCATGGTGTGAATGGAAACCAAATCAGTGAGTGCTCTGCTTCACCTCCGTGCCCCTACACAGCGTATATCACGTTTTTGATATTGTCCATCATAGGTTTCCAAGAGTGACTCATCGCTTTCAAAGGAAAGCATCCAGATGTAACTAGAGAAATTTAATTATGGATTCTGTGTGTTCGTTCAAAAATATTTTTTTTCTCTAAGGGAAAAAAGATGTTGAGCAAATAATACTATATTTAGAAGAGAACTAACTTACTAAAATTATAGCTGTACCAACGGATAAATAAACATAAACTAGTAGCATGAACCATTAATGAAAGATAAATCGTATGAAGGAAAATGACATATGTTTACAGTTTTGGCAGGATTTAAAACAGGGCATGTCTCCTTATATACAGCAACTGTTTTAACAGCTGCTTTTTTTTTTTTTTTTTTTTTTTCCCCCCCCTTCCCCTAAATTATTTCAGGTTTTTGAGTCATGATGCAAGAATCTGGGACTGAGACAAAAAGTAACGGTTCAGCCATTCAGAATGGAGCGAGCGGTGGCAACCATTTACTAGAGTGCAGCCTGCGGGAAGTGAGATCAAACGGCGAGACACCTTCCGTTGAAATTGGGGCTGCAGATATAGCACATCTTCAGCAACAGCAGGTACTGTAAGATGCATTGCAAGTTTCCTACCTACAGAAAAAGCATGAAGCATTTAACCCCCACTCCCAAACCTTTGCCAGGCAGACGATGCTCTCAGGACTTGCCTGTGATGTTCTGCGCGTTTTTTCGTCCGTAGGGGGTTGCGGTTCTTAATGTAAAGGGAAAGGTTGGACTTCTCTTCCAGGACTCCTTTTTAATCATTCCCTGGAAACACCCAAAGATCAGGGCTTGCTTCCATTGCCTGAATGTGTTGAGTCTGGTGGCAGTGATTGGGTGAACTGCTGTATACAAATAACTGGTTTCCAAAATATGTCGCTGGGTGGAAAATGCACTAACGTTAGGTTTTGTTTTTGCAACAGATTTTAATATAACCTAGCAACCTCTATCAACAGAATGTTTTCTATTAGTGAGAAAGGCCGTGGAGGTATCTGCTGTGCAGAATGTCAGAGTAAATAAATAAATACATCCCATGTCAGTGCTCCTCAACTCAGAAGAATCACAACCAAATTGTGCGTTTTGCCTTCGTATTTTAATTAGTGTATTTTCTGGGAAGTGACCAAGTTCACAAGTGTAAATTAGCTGCATAATACGTTTTGGCTTTTTCTTTTCCCTGATAAAATTCTGAAGCCCTCTGAGGAAATTTTACACCAAAGTGCTGGGCATGTATCATTAATGTGTTTGGGAACAAAGACTGCAGCAGAGCCATGGTGAATACACTCACGCCTAACCCTCAGTTTCTCTAATGCAATAAGGATTCTTAAAACCCTTTAAATAAGCAATTGGCAGCTGGTTAAGACTCCCCTAAGTGTACAGTGATCTTTTTAGCAGGTTGTTGTGGAGAAGAAAAAACCTGTGCTCAAAACAAAGCAGAAGGAAGGCTTGGGGAGGAGCGTGGCACCCCATTTGCCAACCTAAGACAGAAAGCTGCCATAATTAAACAAGTCAGAAAAATGGATGATACTAAATGCACAGACTTTGGTTGTTTCAATCATTTTCATCCTACAGGTTTTTACTTGAAGTGAGAATACCATCAGTGAGAAAATCACAGCCATGCTGAATTCATTACTGCAGTAGTCACACAAAACCACGGATAAAATTTCAATAACTGCAGGCCACAGTTGAGTAAACAGTTGCACTGAAACTTAATTCCTGTTGACTTTTCCCTCATTCTTTGCCAGGGGCACATTCTGATTCGTAGTGCAAAGACAACAGGGGTTACAGCTTTGATTAATATAGGACAGTATAAGAGGAGTGGAACAGTAAAATGTGTTCAACACAAAGGTCTTGTCTTAAAAAGGCTTCATATCAAAATGAGTTAATTACACTGCGTTTTCCATAGGAGCACTATGGAATTTTCCAGTGCTGCCTTGTGCAGAGAGAAACGGGGAGGGGGGATCGTGCAGACATGTGCACACTGTGGGCCAGAATGGCTCAGACCTCTGCTCCTACCACCAGTTACTAACCCTGTGCCAGGGCTTCTCCGTAGCCATCCAGAGGGCTCCTGCTGCCTCAGAGAACGTCGTCATCTCGTGTGTAATGGGTTGTGTCATTCAATAGCCGCCCATTCGATCGGTTAAGGAGTGGCACCCATTCATTCCTCATTTCACTGGTCCTCCAACCCTCCCCAAGCCGTGCCCAGCCAGCCCAGTGAGAGCAGAGCTATGGCTGGGGATGGGATTGCCAGGCTTGGGATTGCTTTCACGCAGCTCAGATTTTAGCTTGGGAGTTTATTTATCCTCTGCCAGTACAGTAAATGTGTTTGGGGATCTTGCTTTTCTCCAAGTTCTTAAAAGACCTTTATGTTCTGTGTTTGAATTCTGCTGTTAATTGGTTGTGATGACTAACTTCTCCATGGAGTTTATCTTTTATGAAGCAAGTTGATGGCAAAGTTTAAAGCAGGTATTAGAAATTAAAAAACAACCAGCAAACCCAAACCTGATAACAATAAAAGGGTAATCAGAGCTAGCATAAAAATATCAATCTTGGTGTTTGGAAAATATTTTTAAACGCTGAAAAGAAGAAAACCCCGTTGTTTTCAGACAGCTAATGCAAGCATTTACAGATACACATACAACATGGAGCATAATGTTTAGATGTTTCTCCGTATACAACATATGCTCTCAGGTCACTTAACAGAATGCGTTCTACAAAACGCTTCTTCAATACAAATGAATGAGTTCTGAATTAAACAGCTATTTCTTAAGAGCATTTCATTCAAATCTTTTCATTTTGCCACCTGGCACTTGTTTTGTCTGAAAAAAAAAAAAAAATTAAATTGGTGGGTAGTTTGAGCTTTGCTACCGCGATTAGTTTTGTATTCCCGTGATGAGAGTGGCAGAACAGCGAAACCTGGACATAGAGTGGCTTGTGAAAGCATCTGTGCTGAATTTCAGGTCACATTCTTTGTGAAATTTATGCATTTACAAGGACTAATAGCTTTGTTAATATGAGAGAAGAAAACAGAAATGGTTCAGGTTTTTTTTTAGGAAGTTTTAATGAGTTTGCAAACTTGTAAATATTTTACTCTGGAAAAAATACGGAGTACCACAGATGTTCATATGTTTGCAGGAGCAGTGTACGGTGTGATCACTCTCATTGTAAGTGCAGGGAGGACTTGTAGGACAAGTTTTACGCTTCCCATGTCATGTTAGGGTGATTCTGCCATGCAAGGAGACAGAGAGTGATGTGATGCTCAATTATTTTAGCATTAGCAATCTCGTAAAATGTACTGTTAAGCTGGGAGTAGCAAACGTGGGGATGAGTTCTGCTATGTGTAATAAAGCCAAATAGCTCCAACTGATGTTTATATTTGTAATCGTGAAGTAAGAGCCAAAGCAATACAAGTGACTCTTCAGGGACAGTATATCTATGAAAGAGTTGGGTAAAAATGCAAATACATAGAGGAGAAGTCGCCCCCGGAACCAAACTATAAGGGAAGGAAGACCTTTTCCCTCAGTGTTTTGGCACCTGCTGAGAGTGGGAGAGGTGGCCTTCCCACTGCTGCTGATTCCACAGGTGCAGGAGGTCAGCATCTCATGGGAATGGTTGTCAGGATGAGGTAGAATGGATAGGGTTTTGGTGACCTCCTTATAAAGCCTCGAGTCAGAGTGAAGGTTGCCTGGGTCGTTGGACTTCCTAAAAGAGATTGGAGTGGGCATTTGGCATGGGATAAGGCAGCGGGGCTCGGGAGATTCCTCCTAAGCTTCCCACAGAGACAGAACCAAGGGATGGGTCAAAAAACCTGAGAACAGGATACCAGGCAGTCTGGCAACATCTCTTGGCTCTGAGGCATCATCAGAGGCATCTGGGAGGTGCAAAATGAGTGTCAAAGTGATCCACAAGCAGAAGGTCAAGCTGGGCAAGGGAAGCTTGGGCAGAAGGTATGTAATGATGGGGTGACTCTTCCCTACCAAGCAGTAAAAAATAAAGACTCATGGGGACAAACTGCCTTTTAATGTACATGATCACAGCTGTAGTTGCTTCAGTGGTTTCTGACGTCTACTCAAATAGAAGGTTTGATGCCTCAGCCAGTTCTTTTTTTTTTTTAACTTTTTTTTTTTTAAGCTTATAAAATAAATATTATTTATTGCGTTTTATTTTTATCCTCAGGACTATTCATTAAAGTGTTCTTCGCGTTATTAGCAGCGAAACAAGACTATGAATTGAACAAAGAGAATGATTACAAAGTTGAATCCTGATGTATAGCAGCAAGACACCAAGCGCTGTGTTGCGCGGTGGCAGAAATACAAACCTCTCCACATCAATAGCAAGATCCACTTTGATACCGTAACTTCAAGTACTGCCCCATGAGTATAAAACTCAGTATCTTTGTCTAATCCAGAATGCTTTTGAACTTTGAGGAGGTATGACTTTAATAGTAATTTGTTGACAGATTAGCTGCAGAGATTGCAAAGGGTTTATTTTGCAGAACTGGCAGGCTCGTATCAGTGTTCTCTTAAGGAAAAAAAACACACACTGCTGTTTTGCAATTGCTTGCATTTATTGACAACCTGCGCTGAGCAGGCAGAATTGGAATGTTTGGGTAATGTAAACCTATAGCTTGTCTGATGGAGCCTGGTGTACTTTTAGGTAGTGCATAGATTGCTTGATAAAAAGGGTTACAAGGTGACTGTGTTTATGACAAACTGAAGTAGCAACACAAACGCAACTGGTACATGGAGAAAGAAGGAGGAGGTTTATATAAAGAATTGTGGGGAAGTTTCTTTTCTTCACTTTGTCTTCGAGCTGAACTATACTGTAATTATGAAGTGTCACTTCAAGCTTTCTGAAGAATTAAGATAAATACTAGTTTTGCCATGTGTCCACAAAGTGAGGAAAGAAAGGGGTTTTCCTTGAAAAAAATTGGTGGCATTATATCCTGTTTGGTACTTCTATTCCAGTAAATGTATACAAATGAAAAATACAGTTTTCTTCACATATAAAGGAATGTTTGATAGACAAAAGAAATTTTAACTAGATTCTGGTGTTGGTTCCCAAGTCAGTGACTGAAATTGGGGTATTTGTGGTATCAGTGTGAAGATGCCACTCTTGGGCCCTTTAGCAGTAGCTGTTTCATGAAATGTTGAGGTGTGAAGCATTAGATTGAGGGAAGAGAACTCCAGAGGGAATATGTGGGTTCTTCAAATGGTGTTCATGTTCAAAGACAAGGGGAATGTACAAGAAATGGGGGATTCGTTGTATTATTGAGAGGCTACTTTAATTGGGCAGATTAAAAATATTTGACTAGAAAGAAATCTGAATATATCCCAGTGTAAATGAAAGTAAATTTTTTTTTTTTTTTCTACATCAGTGAGTTTTTTCTTATTTCTGAAATGTATGAGGAGAGGTTACAAACCGCATCAGGAGTTTTACAATCCCATTGATCACGATGTGGACTTACCTCTGTAGAGCAAAACTGCTAAATTAGATCCAAGATAAAGTCTTTGTTTCATATTGACATAACTGGGTTAGACCAAAATTGTTTGTTAAGACTTTGAGGG